TAAGACACAGACATGTTCCCTAAAGTACATCTTACGTTCATCTTCAACTTTTTTTTGCATTGCAGGCTTTAGTCGAAGTGTTTCCTCGTTGAATGAATTGAAACATTATTGTGAAGGAAATTATTTTATCCCTGATGGAAGTACTTTTCCCTGCTAGAATAAATAGGTCTATTGCTTCTGAGGTCAAATGTCCATATATAATGGTCTCGATAATTTCATTTCTAATCATATTTAACAGCATTATTGTTCTACCATAAAGTGGTAGTGGCTTGGTGCGTCTATGTCTCTTTTGATCCTCCTATATATTGTCTACTGCCACATAGCCAGTTTGAGTACTTGATTTCTTTAATTGGCTGATTTTGCTATGCAGGGATGAAGTGAGTCGTTTGTTAGCGATAATACAATCAAGGGCTCTTGAACCTTCAAAGAAAGTGGAAGACAATAAAATTTCACCACAGAGCATTGAAAAACAATCTGAGCAGCCACCTGCTGCAAATAGAGTTATAAAAATGCCTCGCGAAGAAAAGAAAGAAGATTTGGAGAGAGCTACATGGGGAAACTTAACTCCTCATCCACATTCATCGGTTAGTAGGGTGAATCCTTGAGCAGTTCCTGTAGAAAATAAGTATAAATATCTCATGGCTGTCTTGTTTCTCTGATAGGTTTTATTAGCCCATGCTATATTTAGTAATTTTTTTTTTCATCTGAATATCAACAAATCACCCTAGGTACTCTTTTGTATTCATTAATAGTATGATGTATGAAACACCAAGAAGTCTTATTTAGTTTTGAAATGGACAAAAACCAGAGGAAACTGAGGAATGCCTTATCCATAACTATGCGATAACTAGGTTGTTCGTATTTATATTTTTATTCTGGTTGGTTTAGTACTGTTCTTATTAATTAATAAAAAATTGCATTGATGATATTCTGAAAATCAAATCATACTAGTGTTGATGATACCAAAGAAAAACCCACCAAAAGGCATGAGACCAAGCTGTGATTACAAATGACCCGACTACGAGATAATAAAAAACGTCCTCTCTGTTAGAAATATGGTAAATTTGGTTGATGTCTGAAAGTTCATCGGCAAGTAAGAAATTAAAGTTCTGGAATGGGGATTTGTACAAGAACCTAAAATTATTTTTGCCAAAATCTTCAATATTTGTTCACTGTTAAGAGTGTTATTAACGTTTTTCTGTCTCTAATAATTTAACCTTGGATGTATTGGCAGACACTAAATGCAGTTGGAGCATCACCTGTGGATATTGCTAGAGCATACATGAGCAACAGGAAATCTGAACCAGGCTTGCTTTCTGACAAGATTCCTGATGATGAAAGGACTTTGCTTAATGGTGACCATCAAATGTCAAAGCCCTTTATTCCATTCATGTCCCCCAATCCATCAACTTGTTGGCCTGGTGCCATGTCAGAAAGTCAGCGTAGTTATTTAACTCCAAGAAGTCAAAGAGGTAGATTTGGAACTCATAATTTCCCACGGACTCCATATTCTAGGAGTATCTTTTCGAAGTCTAAGTCCAAGGTTTGTAGACATGGCCTTTGATTCCATTTTTTTTTTTTTTTTTGTCGTGACAAGTGTATGTACAGTAAGCAGACTGCATATGTTAACCATGCTTTTGCATGTTTACAGCTAACTCAGTTGCAAGGAGATACCCAAAAGTTTGTGAATACACCATCTCCTCTCTGGCAGCAGTCACGAACTCCAGCTTATTCTCAGGTAATTCTTGTTTCATTGAGCACTCGATGACTAAATGCCAATAATGTGACCCAAGGAACTCCTGTTGAAAAATTCCTTTGTAGCATTTTCTTGGCCTTCAGTGCTGGAAATTTTTGTTCGTATCGATAATATGCAAACATTTGAGTTAGTATTAAAGATGATCCTTGTAGCCAGAGGAATAAAAGCTGAAATACTAGAGAGAACTGGAGTTTAAATTTTGTGTATGTATGCGTGACAGGGTAGAGCTATACTTTTTGCTGGTGGGCAATATTTGCATTTGAACTTTTTATATTCATGCTGTTTTAATTTTGAAATTTGATGGGGCATTTAGAGGAAAAACTTTTAACACAACTTGACGTTTCAATGCTTTGTCTGGTGCCCGTGTTGAGTATATCATTGATATCTTAATCTTAACCCTTAAAACCTTTTACTTGACCAAAATATTCAATTCACCTTTTCTTACTTCTGTCATTACTTTTTTTTTTCTGTTGGTCTATATAGATGACATCAAGCAATGATCCATTCGATGAGGCAACTGGTTCCATTGGTCCATTTCGTAGGCTTGGGCGTAAGGCATCTGCAGTTACTAATTCTAGACGATCTGCTTACCATTATCCAACCCGCCAAGCAGAGACAAAGGTAGAAAATTCCAATATTTCGGAAGGGATTCTACCTGATATGAAGAAGAATCTGGAACTTGGGGGAGCAAGTACCATTCCTCTATCACCCTCAGTGGGAAACAACAGCTCTGAGTCAAGTCTCCGTCCACAGTCCAGTCAGGTTGCTAGGACAATCCTAGAGCATATCAGTAGAAACCCACCTACTCCTAAAGAAAAGAATGAAGAGTTAAAGAGAGCAATAGAATGGAAGAGAACCCCATCTTCCAGTGTACAAACGATCAAGCCAAATGAAACTATTAGTTTGGCTGTAGAGTTAGACTCTCGGCAAAACGTGAACCAAGTAGATCAGAACTGCCACCCCACATTGAGCAATAAGGGGAAAACCGTGTCCACGATTCATCTAGAGTCGAGTGCTGGCAGAAATTCTGATGCTGTAAACCAAAATTCTTCCGATCTAAGGTTTAGGCTTAGCAATGCTGATTCGAAATACAAGGATGACGCAGGCCTAAAAATTAATAGCTCGTCGCCTAAGGTATCATCTTAACTTTGTAATAGGTTCAATTCTGTGATGATGGACATACAGATGCTTTCATTTATTTACTTCGAAATTACTGGCATAAGCTTGAAGAATTCTTAATTGCTTGTTGAATTCATGGGCAGGATATTCCTCCGAAGAAGATCGTTCCAGCTCTTGGATCAGAAGTGGGAACTCAAATGAAGCCTTTCTCCTCTCTTGGAACTAAACCAGCTTTTCCATCCATTACCATCAAGAAGCCCGAGTCAGGGTGGACAATTTCTCCTGACAGTGGTTCGGCATTTACGTTCCCTGTTTCGGGCGCGTCCTCGGGAATGATCTCAGAACCGCCAACACCGTCCATCTTTCCCTCAACCAGCATTGGGGGCAGTCAGCCTCTGTTATCGAAGCCTGAGAATGCAGTTCCTTCATACAGTTTTGGCTCAAAGAAGTCCATCCCTACCCTTGTTTTCTCATTCCCTTCAACAAACAGCAATACAATCTCCAGCGACGCCTCAAATATCAAGTTCAGCTTTGGGTCGGATGATCATACAAGACTCTCATTTAGTTTAGTCGGAAAAGATGCAGTTTGTTGCTAACTGATTAGACTTGTCAAATATAGTTTTTGATCTTGTGCTTGTGGGAACGGCTAGAGTATCCAAACGAGGAAAGAAAATTGTTTCAAAAACCCTTTTTTTTTATTAAAAAACAAATAGAAAATAGAAAATTCATTGCTAGTTTAATGAATAAAATTTCCATTTCTGATGATAATATCATGGTAATGCTCTAGTTTCATGTATATTAGTTATCAACTGTCACATCCTTGAGTGAGAACAACACTCCTGATTCAAGGTTATGTAGTTCGAAGTTGAGAACTAGGCCCAAGTGGTTTCACATGTGAAGTGTTTGATGCAGATTCCCGAAGACGTCCAGGAAAAAAAAATCTGGGAAAAGGGGAATGGATGCCTACCTACATCTACATCCACATCCATCCTAATTCCTATCCATGAAAGATATAAGTAGAAATTTGATTGGATGACAGGCTAGGAAAGAGGTCAGTGACCAATGAGAGAGCCCCACAAAGGACAAGAACAAGTCCACGTGGCAGGATGGATATCACAAGATGAAGGAACCCTGAAAATGGAAAAACTTGGAGATGCCATTGCCAGGCAGAGTGAGAGAGAATCACATGTTGGCTCTAAAATTTGCATGTAACGAGGAAGAGGAAGTCATTCCCTCCATCCTCTGTTATCAGATAAAACTCAAATTTGGAGGGGTCCCCATTTTGAATGGGGTAAGAGAAAGAAGAACCCATTACAGGAAAACTGATGAAAATGCCAAGAGAGAGAAGAAGAAGGGTCCAGGAAGAAAGTGCGGAAGGAAGGGGGGCTGTGTTGGATTGAAATGACATTGGAAGTGAAATGAATGCGGAGCAGACATGAATGCGACGTTTCAGATTCTAAATGTCAGAAGGTTTTCTGAATATCAGAGCAGCAGCAGCAGCAGCAGCACCAGCGGCTGCAGCAGCGCCACTCACCACCGCTGCCTCTGCTCCACTCTATGCTCTTTTTCTCATGTCTTTTTCCAACTCAACCAAAAAAAAAACAACTCTTCCATTTTCACTCTTTTTTTCCCTTTGTTTTGCCAGTTTGTAATCTATCTATTTATCTCCATACATTCATTACCAACCACTGGAAGATCCCTAGGACATTCATACTTCAACTTATCATCTTCCTTTGTTCTTCAAATTTACCCATTTCCTCCCAAGTTTAGAAAAAAATTGAACTATGTTTCAGTCCAACTTTTACTAACTAAAATCCATGTTAACCCGTTACTAAACGTACTCAAAGTCATGTGACCAAATATAATTAGCTATGATACCGTAATTAGGTTTAAATCTTCGATCAAATATATTTTTTATTCACAAAAATTGTACTGATTTTCTATACGATCACTTGATTTTCAAAACTAATACTTTTGGATCTTCAGATTTGAATTTTATTTTTAAAGTGACAATTCGTTCATATAGTTCACTTCATCACTTTGAATGTATGAGTGCTAAAACTTTAACAAAATGCGATTCGGAATGGATTGGATTGATATTAGAGAAGAAGTTTTGGAAGAGGAATGTTTGTGAAAGAACATAGATTGATTTGGGCAGTTGATAACAATATTAGACAACACAGTGCACCCAAAGATGGATATTATAATTGTCACTTCAATTAAACAAGTTCATAGCTTAGAGGTGAAAAAAGGCAGCCACTTGATGATCACTTCATTTGTTTAGTAGTGCAGCCATTGACATCAAACGCTCAGAACCCTGAATCCAATCAAGAACATTCAACATAAGTTTAGAAACAACAAAACATTAAAATTGAGCTTAATTTGATGATTAAAGCACTTACATCATCAATCTTCACTTGATTATTGGTTTCAAACATGAGACCAAAGTGAATACGAGGAAAGTGTGCCCACTAATCAAGTCAACAAATCAAGATTATGAACCAAAATTCATCAAGATCATGAACCCAAATTTATTTTTTTCAATTAACTTACGTTTTTGGCTGCTGTGCTGAAAGCTTCCCTGTGACTAATCTCAGGGTTCTTGGCCTTGATCCTTCGGATTTCCTCTCTAAAACAACATCATAAAGCTATTTGAATTAGAACAGTTTTGAAAAAAATGACATAGAAAAAGCACTCGGGAAGGCTTTGGTTACTCACTTTATGAACTGATTGTATGCAGAAGGTACTCTCTGCCGCTTCTCGGGAGCTGAAAAAAGATAGCAACCGTTCAGGATCGTTGGGAGTAAGTCCCACGTTGGCTAATTTAGAGAATGGTCATGAGCTTATAAGTAAAAAATACATCTCCTTTGGCATAAACTACGAGAGTTTATGCTTAAAGTGAACAATATCATACTAGAGTTTTCATTTTCTTAAAGATTTGCGAGTTTAAAAGGAAAAGGAAATAATACTGACGTCGATTCACAACCCGTTCCTCAGCTGCAATTGTAGCGGAATCTCGAATTTGCATCTTATTGTTATCACATTTGGATGAAGATCCAAAATCCCCTTGAAAATCAGGTCCACTAGAAGTGTAAAGATTGTAATTTGGAACCTATAAACAAAACAAACAGTGATGATATGTAAATTTAGCTCATTTAGTTTCATTTGATCTTATGAAATGATGTTTCATGAAAGAACTCAAAAGGAAATATACCAACATTGAAATGACTGAATAAAGCATATAATACTCAGATTGGCAGTTCAATCTCAAAAACAGCTCAAAAGGACCTTTCAGATCTCCAAAAACATAATAAAAAAAAACACCTTTTTTTTTGTTGTTACAGTAGAAAATGACAAAAAAACCTAGCTAGGCTATGCAGCTCAAAGCTCTTTTCCCTATAAAAATTTACAAAACTTGAAGAACCCTAAACCCAAAAGTACAATCCAACGAACAAGGCTAAAAGAAAAAAAGCAGCTCAGAGTTTAACACTTCTCAAGAAAAGAAAAGAAAAGGGCCACCATGAAAATGGTGAAACTCAGTGGATAAAAGAGTAAAACATAGGATTTATGGCGGCTGGATACCTGTAGAGCTAGCTAGGGTTTTCATTTCGTTGATTTAATTACAATAATGGGTTTTGTTCATTTCAAAATTTCAGATTCTGGGTCACTTCGATTTTCTCAAAAAAGTTGCAAAATTGTGCCCTAAATAGAGAGCGAGAGAAGAAAGATTGGATTTTTAGGGTTTTTTAGGGTTACCTGAACATCTTGCCAGGAAAGTGACTGAAATGCAGCAGCCATATTCACGGACCATAGATTTGTACAGTGCCCACAACGGACTGTCACAATATCAAACAAGCTACTGCATGGAACACTCACCTGCTCATCATTATCATCATCATCATCATCAACATTCATTCATTTTCAACTAAATTCATGTAAAGATCCAAAATTTAACCCTCAATTTTGAACAAGAATCATGATTTGGGTTTTGGGGCTAAAAAAGTTATCTTTTTTCCCCCATTAAGCTAACCCAAACATGAAATTGAAACCCCATTTCTCAATTTCCACGACGATCTACAAAAATTAGGCAAAAAGAAGCAAAACCCATCTCAGGAAATGAAGTTTGTTTATGAATGGAAGAACAGAGGTTTATACCGCAAGAACAATATTGCAAAAGTTGCAAGGGATGTAGCAGAGCTGTTCAGGTGCAATATCGATGCAGCTCGACATGGTTTCAACTCTCAACAACTAGAAAAGAAGAGAAGCTTTCTTTGCAATTCTGCACAAACCCAAGTGAGAAACTTGAGAAATGTACAACAATAAATAGAGCTTTTTATTCTCAGCAGATTCCCTTGCCTTCTGGGTACTGCTAATTGGCTCCTAGTGTATCACCAAATCTGACCTCGCTTTTATATATATATGTACATACATATAGTGAGAGAAAGAGACACAGAGAGAAATTAAATTAATGCATTGGTTCGAATATAATGAGAGAGAAATTTTAAGATTTTTATTTAAGATTTAAATGTGATGGTTTATAAAGATGTACATATTATGTCTTCAAGATATACAAATCGATCAGTTGATATACAAGTCGATCAGTTAAGTTATACTCGTGGCTACTAACAACTTTTACTGTGGCGGCATGGGGAGGGTATGACTTGAGAGTACGTGGGGCTCCAATCTCACTTGTGAATTTAATATTTTTCAAACTGTTCTACTGTTTAATGTAACATCAATTCATATCCAAATCCTGTTTGCTAAATTCTTTATTAAGATTACAATTTGACCATTGTGGCTTCTCATGAGTGTCCCACTTTTGGTGGTGTAACCATAGTGGAATAAAATATTTGTTCTGTGAGACTTGAGTGAAGGAGGGATACATGAATGAATTGATACCGCATTCGTGATCTCATGGATAAGATGATTAAGAAAAGCTTAAAGAACTTGAAATTTACTACTTATATCAACAAGATGCACATTTCTTTTTAGTGGCTCGATCATAAAAACTTTATGGTTAAGCATGTTTTACGAGTAATTTTATGTAGAGTGACTTCTACCATTTTCTAAAAATGTTGAATAAATTAAAACTTTATTAGAACGAATACATGAAATACATCCGCATGCGATCGAGATTGGCTTGGACTTCATTCAAAAAGACAAACAAAAGAAATACAAATTAAGAGAGAGAGAGAGACTTTATTCATAAAGCCTGTTGCCAATTTGGGTAGGACCATTAACATCTCGATCTTTATAACAATAAGTACATGTTAATTACTCCTAATTTTTCATTAGGTCGATTTAATTTCGTTACCATGCACGGATGACACATGAATCCATTTAGTTAATTAATATTTGTCGACCGAGTCATGCTTGCATAAATCATTAATGTGAGATTATGTTTCTAGTTAAGAGGATACATCCTATGTGCTGTTCATTCATGTGCTCCATGCCCTAATTTCGGGTAAATATTTCTAGCACATTAATTAGCCACCGAACCATCTCAGGCGCTAAAAGCGTTTATATCTTCTCTTTCAGCATATTTGAGGCAATTTACTCGTTCGGTGTGACAAATATCATACAAATCAAATAATTATTAAAAACGTGACACATAATTTAATTGTGTGCACTATGAGAAAGGCATTAATCATACTATATACTAAATGTATATATATATATTCACTAAGAAGTCACCACACAACATATCATACAGTCAGGTGGGAATGCAATTTCGAGGCTTCTTCCTTCATGTGGGGTTCCCCTCTATCAAATCCACGTGCATATGTGTGCAAATTTCTAGACCCATAGTCTAAGTTCATAGAATTCTTTGTGTTTATCTTCCACCCTAAATTCGTCGAGAAGCCGCCCTAAATTTGGTCTGATTTAGAGTGATATCTATTCTCGTGTGATCATAACCATTGTCAGCCTCGTTCATAATGAGTCAAAACATTTATTCTGATAGTCGAAAGTATATAATTCAAGGAATTGAGCTATATGTAAGTGGATACCGGAGAACAAAAGAAAATAATAAAAAAAAAATTATCAATGGCCCTTCATTTTTTTTTTTCTTTTGAGTTTAATATATGGATGACGAGCGGAACATAACGTTCATCAGTTGGTCAACATATAATTTAATCAATTGAGCTATATTTAAAAAAAAAATTATCCTAATTCAACTACTAAAGGTACTAAAATTCTATTTAAATATAAAGGTAGTCTCTAGAGGAAAAAGTTCTTCTCCTTCTCGACAGTTGTGAGTGAGAAGAAATTCAAACTCCGACATTGTGGTTCGTAGTCACGTGATGATCTAATCCAGTAAGTTAAGTTATAAGCTCCACTCGATTTTCAAAGATCTGTGGGTACCCTAAAAAAAATACCTTTTTTCGGTCGAACTAGCCATAGTTAATAAAGTTAGGGTTCTACATGGTTGAGTTTGTGGTGGGGTTTCTCGATATCCACACAAGAAAACCTGCCTGTTTCTCTCCCGGCTGCCTCTGAAACCAAAAAGATAAAGATTTTAACCGGAAAATCTCCATAGAAACACTAGAAATCCAGAGTACGAATCCCCCCTCTCTATCTTATCTTCAATTTTAAGATTGTAGTTTGTCGTGTTCCCCAAATACCTTTTAAATATATAATTAATACTCATTCACGTCTCATTAGCTACTCATCACGTAGCCCACATTCAAGTACACCACCTTTTCAACACCCATCACCTACCTTTCACTCTAATTCTAACCCTACATATTTCTTTACTACATAGTTCTTAATCAATCAACAACTAAAAACTAATCTAAATTTAATGTTTAGTGATCAATAAATGCAATTTCAGAATAGAAGATTTTTAAGGTTTTAAGAAGTTCGGAATTATTTGATCGTCACCCAGAATAAGTAAACCAACTAGAATTTGAGTTTTTTTTTTTTTTTTTTTTGCATGAGCAACATATGCTCAAGCCTCTAGTCTCGTTTCCCGTAAAATTGTATAGAAAACGAGAATTATGAAAGTTTTAAAAAGCATTTGAAATTCGTGGGTAAAAAAGCAATATAATAGGATAGAAGTAATTAAGCAATAACTACAACTTTGACAACTAATCTCATCTCTCTATAATACATTTTGAGTCATTTTAGTCTTAGTTATACATGATTTTGGTGAACCGCTGTATATTATGATTGATATAACTATTATGTATTGATATAACAAAAATAGAATGAGTTTGAAATAAACGTGTAGACATAGATATACGAGACAAGCATGATCGAAACATTGAAAATGAGTCTTAGTGAGAGCTTTCTTTTTTCGTAATTTGCGTCAAATTTTAGTAACGTTTTAAAAAAATAAAATTAGGGCAGGGCAGGGCAGGGCAGGACATTCTTTCTCGCATCAAACGAATAACTGTTGGATATCAAATCAATTAACTCCATCTCTCTCTTCTGTCATATTTTTGTTTTACCAGTTTCTCTCTCCTCTGCCCTAAAATTTAGAGGGCACATCATATTTTAAATTAATTGACTTTCTTAAATTTAATGAAGTCTCTGGGCCCTACAACAGACTAGCTCTCTCTATCCAATGCCCAATCTGTACGGTTGTAAAGCGTCTACCAACTGCCTGCCCTTCTTCACTTTTCCCCTACCCAAATATCCCCTAATCAAACTAAACTCTCCCAACCTTCTTCTTAAACTTATTCAAATTCCTCCTGTAACGATTAACCGACTCAAACCATAAAGGTTCAATCGAGTTCGATTTGAATTGGATTGGATTTTTCTGATTCGTCCTTCGCCCTCCCCTAATCTCTTTGTTCCTTCGCTACCGCTAATGCTCTCTCCATCTTGACCCAACTCGACAGTAGTAGAATGTTAGATTGTAAACCCCATTTAATTCATTCGGGCGTGCAACCCAACCAACCAGAAATCTTAGGTTAGTCTGAAACTTACTTCAACTCAATCCATGTATACTCCTATTCAGTTAGATGTTTGAATTTTTATTTTTACGTATTAGATCAATATTTAAGTGCCATAATCTACACCGAAATTATATCGAGGAATCAAATTTGTATTGATTGTTCATTCATAACTGGACTGTTTAACAACAAAATAGGATGAATAACCAAAGTGAATTCCAAAAGAGAGTAAGGATTTTGACCACACATAATGCAAAGCCCCTTGATATCTCAAAGAGTGGGCTTTTGATAGCATATGGAATTACTTCACCAATACGACGAGCTTGAAGCACTATCACAACACACAAAAGCAAGAGAAAACAAACAAAAACTAGAACTTTTATCATCCAAAATCTCCCTTAATCGCCCAACCAAACCAAACCTAAAGATGCCTATGCCAATTCACCAAAGTATCAAACTTTGCTTTCGTCGTCATCATATATTCATCATCGTACCTTCCGTCTTCGCCATGTGAAACTATACGCGTAATATTTATATTTTCATTCGCATCGAACTTTTCAATATTTTATAAGATTTTGTTGTCGACAAGCCCTTAAAAGTTATTCGTTTTACGTTACCGTCATTGATAAATCATGTGTGTTGGTATCGTTGCATGAGACTAGACGAGGACGATATCAAGATGTATTCCTATCTAGTAGATGTCGATGAAATTGTCGTACATATATCAAAAGAAATCGTTAACATTATATTGGTGTTAGAAATACTGAATCAAAGTTTTAAAAAAATATTATTACCTAATTCTTATTATATAATTTTTTTTAATATATAATAAAAAAAACCAGCCATATTATTAGTTGTATGTTTATGAATGAAGATAATATATTAAGGTTTCACATTTGATGTATAGGCACATCATCCATCACATGGTCCATGAGCTTGAGGTCCACTTAAGTAAAAGCCCAATAAAGTTGGCCCATGAGCGACATCGACTGGACAGTCTTTGTGCTGGGCTAATCGTGTAGAGCTAATTGGGCTTGCAGAATGAGCATAAACGCCATCTGCGCTCATACTAAAGCCCAGATCTGACAATCCATAAGTGGTGTCGATGGTATGGTGAAATAAATGGACCCTCAATTGGATCTGACACCTCTTTTCATGCCCTGGTACCATTTGTAACAGTCTAAGGCCACTGTTAATAGATATTGTCCGCTTTAGTCCGTTACATAGATCTCAAAATTTTAAAACACATTTACTAGGGAGAGGATTTTACATCCTTATAATAAATGTTTCATTATTTTCGTGACGTGGGATCTAACAATAGGGCTTGAACTGTTGCAAGTTAATTGGGAAGGCTAATAATTTCTCTTTTTAAATTTGAAGTGGTTTAAGTAATATTAGAGCAAATAGATCCATAAGAATTGAACAAATATATAATATGTAACGGATCAAAGCGGACAATATCTATTAGTAATTGACGTAGACTATTAGAACATAATATAATTAAATAA